TATTGCATCAAAACTTTCGACAACCACAATCGAATGGCCTGTGAATTTCTTTGAATACTAAAAGAGAAAATTTCGTTCTCTTTTAATCAATCTTTATAAATTATCATTAAAATTGATTAAATAATTAGTAAGAAAATGAAATGACTACGGGTTTTGCACGATTGATATGATTCAAATAATAACAAGACCGCTCGTAGCCACCTGTAAGTACAAATTATTAGAGGAATTGGTAATTATTGAAGGGTTTACTAATACTTTTTGCTACCATAAAGAATCTCATTGTGTCAATTCTCTTAATTTCAGTGTGATGGATGCTTGTCACTTCATTCATAAAAGAAAGTAAAGAGATTTTAACATAACGAGAAAAGAGTAAAGAAAAAAGTAAAGGTAAAATACAAGTTATTAACTTTGGTAGTAATCATGGTGCTAAATAACCCGTTATGGCTCGTTATGGCATCAAGGCTTAGGTTCGCCGCCATGTTAACCCTTATGCCTACACTCTAACGCTTGCATTATAATGCATTATGGTGCGTTATGACATGTATGACATGTTACAACGCTCTATTTTGTAAGGTGTAAGGTTATTTTAAGGTATAGCTTGAGCGATAAATGATAATTATTTACGGTACCCAAGATTTAAATGAACATAAAATGGAAACTTAAAAACTAAAACCTTAAATAGATATATACTTTACTCACATTCCCATACACTAAAAGTCGAAAAAGAACTCTTCTAAGAGATKTACTCCTGATTTTCCACTCTTGATATCATCTTTTATAAGCTCTATATATATTTGTTATTTATTGGGTACTGTACGAAGTATTTGAAATACGGGAAAGAAATATCAGTCAGATAATATTCCCAAAGGAGTTGCAAACGGTATCAATAGTTATTCTTTCTTTCTTAGTTTTATCACTTTATATGAATTTAATTTGTTTTATAATGTTATTCAAAACATTAACGCACACAAGGGTGGGGAGAGTGCACTACCAAAATGACAGTCTTTTCCGGCGGACAAATCTGCCGGAAAAGAGGGCGCTGGTGATTTATTTTCCGTCGAGTTTTCCGGCGGATTCTTTACTTTTCCGATGGATTTCGGCCGCCGGAAATCTTTCGCCGGATAATTAAAAAATTTGGTTTTACTTAATTAAAAAAAATTAAGAAATTTTCCGGCGGATGAAATCCGCCGGAGTCTTTTCTCACCGGAAAAAACTTAAATAAATAAGATTTTCAAAAAAAAATAAAAATAAAAAAATTACCTGCGGCCGGATCCGCCGGAAATCCGCCGGTGTTTTTGGTTTTTAAATATTTAATTAAATATTCATATATTTTAGAATTTATTAAGCAATTTTAATATTTCCGGCGGATGTTTCCGCCGGAAATCCGCCGGAAAAATAATTTCATTATAAAAAATTATTTTTTGTATATTTTTTCAATAAATATTTAAAACCTGTAAATCTGTAAAAATATGGATAAAACTAAAAAATTAAAATGCAACCAAATATCACATATTGATTAAAGTGAACAATTGTTACAAAACATATACAATTAAAATGTATCACACAATGTTACAAACAAACTAAATTGTTCCAAATAAATAAACAATATTCAATTAAATGGCGGTGGAAATTGTAATTGACGGAGTTCGTTAACCAAAGCAGTCATATCATTCATTTGTTTCAGAAGTTGCTCATCCACCGTCCGTCGACGCTGATTTTCTTCTTGTAAATCCATAACTTGGGCCTCTAAGTTTACAATTTTCTATAAAAATAAATAAAACGTTATAATATTTAATATGAATTATAAACTAGATCGATAAACATCATCAAAAGAAAAAAAACACATACCCGTTGTTCTGAAGACGATGAACCAGCTTCCGTGTAGTTGCCGGTCAAGACACAATTGGGATCTTGGTTGTACCCAAACCCAAATAGACGACCTTTTTTGCTTCCCCCAACTGCTTGCTCCCACAACTCTTTATCAACTAAGGGATA